AGGGTGGGAAGGAGACATGTTTGTTAGGTGGGGGTCACGAATTGATAACGACTGATAAGATCTGATAATAGGCGCTGAAAAGCAAATCAAACGAAATTCACTGCGCATGTCCCAGCAGCAGAGAGGCGTTGGTTCTGATAGTGGATGTAGAGGGTGGGACGGGAACATATTTGGTGGGGTCAGAAAGTGATAACGACTGATAAGATCTGATAAGAGGCGCTGAAAGCAAATTTCACGAAATTCACTGCGCATGTCCCAGCAGCAGAGAGGCGTTGGTTCTGATAGGGGGATGTAGATGATAGGAGAAGGAAGAGTTCTGTTGGTGCTCCCCGTCACTGGCTTGACTGGAAAAACAAAAGAAAAGATCGGAATTTTTCTTTCAAAATCGTCATAGAAAAGGAAAGAATAGGGAAAAAATACTGGAATTAACTACAAGGAGTAACTTCGTTACGCTCATGGAGTATGTATAATTTAAAGCTTCTGAGAATAACGATTTTTCGAGATGTCAAAATGTAATTGAAAATTTCAGCAAGCACTTTTGAGACGACACAAATATCAAGGTGCACGATCTACACGCCGTTTTCCACTCTCTTTAGAATGGACTATTAATTGAAGGAGTTCATTAACACTCAACAGTGAATCTCAGCCTACTGAAAGCTGAGCAAAAACGTAGAGGCGAATGAGCAAAGTAAAATATTTTATTACTTATCAGCATTGAAAGGACCGACACTTACTAAAAGCAAGAAGTGTACAGGTGCTAACGATCATTTCATCGAAATTGCTTGGTTTCAGTGGAAACACGGAATCCCATAATTGCGACAGTTTACGACGTTGGAACCCCATCAGACCAGCGGATCAACACCAATCGGCATCAAATCCAACTCAGCACGCGGAAGGCCGTATAGAGGCAGCGTACGACGGAACTGCTCCATACTTTTGATTTCCTTCTGAAGTAAATAGAGATGACTACACAAATAATTTGAGTAACTAGATTAATAGACTTGCAAAATTCGCTTTCGCTGCAGAGCTCGACAGATTGAACGTCATCCATCCGAACGTTTCAGGTAGAAAATGAACGATTAATAGTAAACAGAACCTCCTCATACTCTCTAGAATATGAGAACTCCCTACAATATGTTGGTCACTAGCACCTCAAAATAGTTCTGGACAAAACGTATTAAGAGATGTTGTGCTTTCAAGATATAAGAGATTTTTTATATAATATATTCAACGTGCAGCGTTTACATTTACCTTAAAGGCAAAGGTCGGGATTAGTTGACCAAACCAACCCTTTCGGTCATGCCTGTACTTGGTTACGCACCCGTAGAGATGTTCCCACACTCAAAACCCGAAACGGCGCAGTAATAAGGCCCCAGGGCATGTACTATGCGCTATCGCCGCCTGGCCCCGCTACGACCGCCCACCTCGGGATGTGGTGCGTGGCTGGCATAACGTGTGAAATCAGCTAGGTTGATTGCCGTATCAACCGATAGAACGACTGATATCTTCAGAAAACTTGTTTGTACGTGCCTCTTCCCCAAGCCAGCCTCCTTCACTGCTAGTGGGAAAGAGGGTTTTGTTAACGGCCTTGTCGACGGTTTTTCTCAGTTTTTTCTCCACTGTCGTTCCACTTCGCATCTCTATACTCAGTTTCAATCGCCATAATACCCCCTTATTGAGCCCGACTTTTGCCTTTAACTCTTATACAGTTGATCAGAATACAACCTCAACAATTCATATATGGTTACGTTCTGTAATTTCGATGTGCTGGATTCAGGTGTTCGGTAGCAGAAGCCTTTAAACGGAGGTGATCCCAATTAGTAGACTATGAATCTATGCTAGTAAGCAAGGAAAAACAGGGTGAGAAAGGAAACGAACAAAGAATTTAGCATAGCATGCAACAAACATCATCGCCATTCAGGGTGGCGAAAGTTACGCAAGCCGCAAGCGCTCATAAGCTTCTCCAGTGTCGCAAGTTTCTATACGCTTGTGCTGATTTTTGTTGACTGCTGCAGTTTCCGACTTCTGTGGTGTTATCGAATTTTTGAAGGCTCCCTATGAAGGTCGATTTCACAACGATTTCTGGCAGGTCGTTGGAAATTAGTTATAGATGGTCAGTGATGCACAAAAGAAGAAAAAACCAAGGAAAATGGCCTAGAACCCGAGAAATGGGACCCTTTCTTGCCCGTTGATTTCCGCATTGATGCGACTCTCATCGATGCTGCCCTCTTCAATGCTAACGCTCTCCCTGCAAACGGCCAGAGGTTCAAGCAGTGAGAGCGGGGCGGGGCGTAACGTGCCAATGGTGCACCTATAGCGCCGCAAGAAAAGCTATGCTATATCTCCTGAGGCACATTATTTGATGCAATTGCGTGCCGTTCTGCGCCCTTAGGAGTTCTCCACAAGCCAGTCTCTCCACTAGGTAAGTTTCCTCCTCTTCGACCTCTTAATTTAGTCACATCTGAGAGGCACGGCACTCCCAGGAAAATTCCAGAAGATTCAAAGAAAGCAAGACGTGTGAGATGTGCAGCGCTATACAAAGATTTGCAGGGCTAGGAAACTTTCTACACGGGGCTATTTTGAAAAAAAAAACCCATTGCCGTCCACCTAGACAGAATACAGGGGCGGTAGTGAAGTGGCCTAGTTCCCACGTGACCATGAGCTCGTGGTAACTTGGTGATGGCTTCCAAACGAAGTTACCCTAAAATATGCGTAGAGCACCTCTGGAACCCCTCCGAAGATTCCCCGTCAGAATGGTCGAAGTGAGTTCGAACTCACTTGGAAGTGGGGGGGTGATGACATCACGTGCTAGTAAGAGGATTAGCAGGGTGGTCATCTAAAAATCCACCCTCTCCTGGGCATAGCCCTAGCGTCACCTACCACTGGACCCAGATTTCAATATTATTCCTAGGGAAGTGAGCGTAGAAATTGACCATTATTGACTGCTATTCAACTCCCTTCCGAATTAATTGTTCGAGCAACATGACATTCATTGCTAGGCTAGGCTCACTGCTCACTATCTCTATGTTCCTTGCTCCATTTTTTTGTAATTTATCAAAATAAGATCCAACTCAAAAGTCTCAGGTTCATTTATGTCTTGTTTTCAATGGTCTTACAGGTGGAAGCAGAATCTGGGCTTTCAAAGTTCAAAGACTTGGTTCTCGTATTCATTCGTCATTTTTGTTTACAGGCGTATCTGATATGCTCTATATAAATCAAGTTTTCTACTGTTCTAACGCCCCGCTTGAGTGCAGAAATCAAAAATGAAGAGAGAAATATAAATGAAATCCAGCAGAAACTTGAGATTTGCCTGGTTCACACAACCTAAAATTCACTCACCAGTTCTGGATGATCGGTGGCTTCTGTTTTCGCAACGATTTCGTCTCGTTTGTCGTTTTTGCTGTGAACGAATACAGCTATCTGAAAATTTCAATGACCAGTACAAGCTTGCCGATGCTCTAGAAGGAGTGCTACATATTAGTAATTTTTTAGCGATCTAAGGCGAATGGACAGATTTTTTCACAACTCCAGTAGGCCATCAAGTCATTATGTTTGCGTATTTTGAATACGCTTTTACACAGGCATAAAAAATGCCCTCTGAGGTTGCACTATTATTACTGCAATGGTACTAATTTGAAATTCATACTCACTTTTCGCCGCTGCGGCGCATTTGCTCTGAAACTTGAGGTCGAAATACTCGAAGAAGATCTTCCTTGGTTATTGAACGTAATATTTCCACACACGTGTTCCCTTAAACGGAATAGCTGTCGTTCATCGAGAAGATTCTACCTTCTTTGCAGTTGTTAGCATGTTAATAGAAAACATGTTAGCTTCTGCAAATACTACTGCGGAAACTGAAATGGCCCTGCGGCTCGAGGCGAGGTGTAGTATTTGATTTGATTGTATCATTTCAGTTCACCAGCCTCGAATGATTTATCAACACCACATAAGTATTACAGTAACATCTGCTGGCTATTTCGGCATTGGGATTGGCTTAATTCAAACACAAACTTCTCTATGATCCTGTGTAAACGTCATACATGTTCCACATTCCACTGACCAGGGAAAGGCATTCAACTTCCCATGGAACTTTGAATTGAGACCCAGATATATCGATAGAGCTTCAAACGCTGATTACAAATATGGAAACTAAAACTGCAAAATGAACCTGCCAAGGAAGTTGTGAGCAGTCAAAGTTGGCTGGAAGTAAAGCATTACACTAGCCTCCGGCTTTCAAAGTCGCCGCGGAGCAGTGGTGGTGCCCTCGCTCTTCACCCTGGAGGTCATAAGCTCTCCTCCCGTTGGAGCGCAAATTCCGAGAGCACTACCACTACTCCACGGCGACTTTGAAAGCCCGGAGGCTAGTGTAATGCTTTACTTCCAGCCAACTTTGACTGCTCACAACTTCCTTGGCAGGTTCATTTTGCAGTTTTAGTTTCCATATTTGTAATCAGCGTTTGAAGCTCTATCGATATATCTGGGTCTCAATTCAAAGTTCCATGGGAAGTTGAATGCCTTCCCTGGTGAGTGTGAACAGCTCATTTCTCATCTAGCAAGTACGACTCCTACGTCTCTACGGACAAACAATGTCTTAATGCCCACTGAAGTAATCAAGTGGGTAGGAGGTACCCAAAGCAAATCTACCGCAAACCAGGTAGCCCTACTCAGATCAACCAGATTCTAATTCTCGAACTGCAATTATTTGGTGCAAGAATCAATCAACAAAAAACTTACTCCAGTCGAAATCATACTGCCTAGCTGTAATTTGATACCAAAATTCCTCTGAGCATGCACTGAGAGTTTTCTTTTTCGCCAATACTGTTGCGGCAAGGCCATCCTTTTGCTTTTCAAAATCCTCTTCTGTCATCGTCACAAGTTCTTCCTGGAAGGGGTAATTGTGTTTCTATAACATCACTGGTGCTCTATTACTGCTACTCTGAGATGATAATGTTTCCTGTAGCCTTTCACATTCTCTTTCTTCTTAACATCACTGGTGCTCTATTACTACTACTCTGAGATGAAAGTGTTTCATGTAGTTTTTCACATTCTCTTTCTTTTTAATGCCTAATATGTATATACCATACCGTCTGAAAACATAGCAGTTATTATAACAGTGCGCTATCAGCAAAAGTTGAAGGCAAATGACGTCATTTTCAAGAATTTGTGCAATGTTTGTGGTCAATTCTAGTTTGATGCTCTCTTCCAAAGTTTTTAGCGACAGATTCTACACGAGTGATTCGTAACGTTCAAAACATAGGGTGGTAATGAAACAAGCTTACCCTGATCTTTTCCAGGAATGCTTCTACTCTTTCATGAACGTAGTCCGGACTTTTAGGTCCTTGCACCACAAGTTGTAGAGCAATTGTTCCTAGACCGTGCCTTGGGCCAATCTCAACCGTGTATCCTGAGTCATAAACTATTCAGCCGCGTCTTGTACACAACAAGATAGTAATGAAAACTATGCTGAAGGTGTAGAATGGCTCTCAAGTGGACTCACTGTCATTTTTCATAAAATACGAAAAGGCCGAGCGGTCGACATCAATACCTCTTTGACGTCACGTATTCGGCTACTTTGCAGAATCGCAGAGTCATTGGATTTTGTAGAATTGAACTTTGCTGGGGCAGTGCTGGCAGTGCTTCTTCTCCCAGACTAGTTGAATAAACGTAGGTGAAAATGTAGTTCGGGGGGGGCACCTTATCTAATCGAAGCGGTGTTGCGGGAAGGTCCTCTAATCACATCTTTCAGTGAGACCGTGGTCTACGACCAGTACGTCACACTTTTTATCCATGCCATATTCCATGGTGACCAGAACGCTGGAGTTTCTAAACACAGTCATGTAGAGAGTGGTCAGATAACAACTGCTCACAGTCCATTATAAGTTGCATAAGCACCACTGCTCAATCCAACGGGAGGAGCACAGCAGAGACAAAAAGTTCAAAGAGCTGGTGTCGAGGGCCGAAAATGGCGATTACGCGGGCACCGTTTTCATCGACGACAAAATTCCTCACATGGAGCGGAGCTACAATCTTCAAACTCCGAGGATGCCCGCACGAGGTCCCGTGGAAGCCAGTGAGAGTGAAAGGAATATTCGCCACAAGCAGCAGCCAATCTTTATCACGATTTGGGCAAGGGTCTCAATCACCGGTCGCTCACCACAACTGTCTGTTGAAAAGCGAATGAAACTCGATACAGACCTAGCTAACGAATGCTCCAGTGCACCATTCGTTGCTAAGGTATCTGCTTCTTCAAAGAGGAATGACGTTCTTTTCAAAGGTAACCAGCTTCTGCATAAAAAATGGCATAAATTGGCAAAAATTGTTTAAGACTGGTCTCATGATACTGTTCCCGATTTCACATCCTCAAAGGAATGGCTCTCATATCTCTCGATTTCAACCTGCTGGACCATCCTATTTGGGCTATATAGGGCCTGCGCTAAGCAATGCATCCAAATAGATAGCATATATAAATAGGTGAGTATATAAATAGGATCTGAAAGGAGCACTCTAAAAGTTTCGAAGAAGGCACTCCAGGATGCCATGCGGGAAACACTAGAGTTGTGTTCGAAGCAACTGGGAAGCCATACTCACAGCGACAGGGAGACTTATCGAATAAATGTCATTCCTTTCAACATCTTAAGGACGGACTAAGAATAGTGTGTGACCACTTGAAGATACGTCCACTTTGAGAGAAGTTACAAGTTAAGAAACGTGTTGCAGGATTTATGGAACACGTGCAGCGGCTCGACTGTTTGATCACACCTTTTTTCATCGTGTGCTGTCTACACC